ACCCGGTAAGCATAATCCATTAAGGGTGATGTTTACTGGTAACAGTTAACTGGTACCTGCAAACAGCCCCTCACCTGCGGCCCAGCCCTGAGTGGAGGGCTGTTCCGGGCCCCCTGCATGAGGCTGCTGGCTCCCAGTCTCCACATGGGGCTGGCAAGGGCAACTGTAGCAGCCCCCATGCAGGGACCAGGAGCAGTCAGGCTGGAGCAGCTCCTGCCTGCAGCAAGGGGGGGCCACTCAAGCCCCTTCTACCCAGCTCCTTTAATTGGTTAAATGGTTAAAAACATTGTCAGCACTACGTTTAATTGCATTCCTAGGGCAATGTCTATACTGCATCTGTTCTGCGCAAGAAATATGCAAATGAGGCTGAGCGTGGAATATTGTCGAACCTCACTTGCATAATTATGTGCGCCTGCCTCTTGTGCAAGAGCTGTTTTTCTGGAAAAAAAAAATGTGGAAGAACAGCTCTTGTGCAAGAGGGAGTCTTTGTGCAAGAACAAGCCGTGTAGAGAGCTCCTTTTTGCGCAAAAGCCTCTTGCGCAAAAAGCAGGTGCTCATTAATTATGCAAATGAGGCTCCCGATATTCCACACTTAGCCTCATTAGCATAAGCAAATATGGGTGCAGTATAGACATAGTGTAAGAGGCACTTCTCTCAGCAACAACCAAATTTAAGTGAAGACACTTCCACAGTTAAGTTGACACCAGGTGTGCCTAACGTAGTGAATACAAGCAGAGAGAGGGTAAGTTTAGAAGATAGGATACACAAAGAACAAGTTAAAAATCACTTAGGAAAGTTAGATGTCAGCAAGTCACCAGGTCCTGATGAAATGCATCCCAGGATACTCAAGGAGCTGATAGAGGAGGTATCTGAGCCTTTAGCTATGATCTTTGAAAAATCATGGCAGACAGGGGAGATTCCAGAAGACTGGAAAAGGGCAAATATTGTGCCCATCTATAAAAAGGGGAATAAGAACAACCCAGGAAATTATAGACCGGTCAGTTTAACGTCTGTCCCAGGGAAGATAATGGAGCAGGTAATTAAGGAAATCATATGCAAACACTTGGAAGGTAATAAAGTGATAGGGAATAGCCAGCATGGGTTTGTGAAGAACAAGTCATGCCAAACTAATCTGATAGCTTTCTTTGATAGGATAACGAGCCTTGTGGATAAGGGAGAAGCGGTGGATGTCATATACCTAGACTTTAGTAAGGCATTTGATACGGTCTCGCATGATATTCTTATTGATAAACTAGGCAAATATAACTTAGATAGGGCCACGATAAGGTGGGTGCATAATTGGCTGGATAACCGTAGTCAGAGAGTTGTTGTTAACGGTTCTAAATCCTGCTGGAAAGGGATAACAAGTGGAGTTCCTCAAGGGTCTGTTTTGGGACCCGTACTGTTCAATATCTTCATCAATGATGTAGATATTGGGATAGAGAGTACTCTTATTAAGTTTGCAGATGATACCAAACTGGGTGGGGTTGCAACTTCTTTGGAGGATAGGGACATAATTCAAAATGACCTTAGCAAGTTAGAGAAATGGTCAGAGGTAAACAGGATGAGGTTTAATAAGGAGAAATGCAGAGTGCTCCACTTAGGAAGGAACAATCAGTTCCATACATACAAGATGGGAAGCGACTGTCTAGGAAGGAGCATGGCGGAAAGGGATCTAGGGGTCATAGTGGACCACAAGTTGAATATGAGTCAACAGTGTGATGCTGTTGCAAAAAAAGCAAATATGATTTTAGGTTGTATCAACAGGTGTGTTGTAAGCAAAACTCGTGAAGTCATTCTGCCGCTCTATTCTGCACTAGTTAGGCCTCAGCTGGAGTACTGTGTCCAGTTCTGGGCGCCACATTTCAAGAAAGATGTGGAGAAATTGGAAAGGGTACAGAGAAGAGTGACAAGAATGATTAAAGGTCTAGAGAGCATGACCTATGAAGCCAGGCTTCATGAACTGGGCTTGTTTAGTTTGGAAAAAAGAAGATTAAGGGGGGACATGATAGTGGTTTTCAAATATCTAAAAGGGTGTCACAAGGAGGAAGGTGAAAATTTGTTCCTCTTGGTTTCTGAGGACAGGACATGGAGTAATGGGCTTAAAGTGCAGCAGGGGAGGTTTAGATTGGACATTAGGAAAAAATTCCTAACTGTCAGGGTGGTCAAATATTGGAATAAATTGCCAAGGGAGGTGGTGGAATCTCCCTCTCTGGAGATATTTAAGAACAGGTTAGATAGACATCTGTCAGGGATGGTGTAGACGGAGCTTGGTCCTGCCTTGAGGGTGGGGGCTGGACTCGATGACCTCTCAAGGTCCCTTCCAGTCCTATGATTCTATGACCTAACACTATAGTGTAGACCAAACCTTAATCACTAAGCTTAGCCAATGTAATGGTTATTGGCAAAACTTGTTCCAGTTTGTTCACTTTGCAGTTTGTGAAATTAATGGTCTATGGAGATCCATATTTGCTTCTTTTTTTTTTTTTTGTCCGTAAGATCATTTTTTTTTTTTAATTTAAAAACATTTTTTCTGATTAGTGGGGGTAGGTGAGATTTTAATGAGAGGAAGTCGGGCTCCACCCTCTCTTGACCTCACTGCATGCAAAGCAGATGCGACTAGCATCCTTTCTTTATATCTGCTCCCATTAAAAGCTGTTTTGTTAAAGTTACATTGCTACTTCCAAGCATGGACTGTAGAAGGGGAAGTTCTCACTGACTTGCAAGTGCTCAAATTACAGTGTGCAGATTATCATTTCTATAGGATTGGTAATGTCAGAAAATAAAGTTATACCACCTGCTGAGGCAGGAGTGTAGCCAGATAGCAAGCTTCAAAGAGGAATATTGGAATAACAGAAGAGTGGTTTCTTATAGTTTTTATCTGTGGCCCTAAAGATGAGACTTCTACAGGTTGATTCAGAGGTTAAGGTATTGTCCGGGGCAGTGTTTTCTCAATGACTGGTTCTTTGAGGACTCTAGTATGCTAGGTTCTATGCATAAAGTTAGCACCCTTCTCTCCTGCCCCCCCCCCCACCACCCACAACCGGGAAGTCTTGTGGGTGAGTACTTCCACGGACAGCTTGCTCTGTATGGGCTTATGGAGGTGAGACTGTAGTTGGGGATATTGAATATGGGCCAGAGAAGTGGTAGTAATAGTCATGAAACCCCTGAAGAGCACATGATAAATAGCTATGGCAGGGTTCTGATATCTAACTTTACTGGTTTTGCATAGAACAGCTTAAAAAAAAAACCCTCTCAAAATTTGAGATTTTTCACATCAGTTTTTAATAAATCAGTTTGCACAAAGTCATATTTTAAAATATTTGAATCTATTTGCAGTTGGGCTTTTTTTCCCAATAGAACAGGGATCATTTCCCTAGTCAATAAGTTTTCTATTGTGTAGTTTGTACAGAACTGTTTGTTTCCTTGTGGAAAAATATCTGCCATTTTGCACTGTCTCAAAATATACAATACTGGACTTGCTGTGTATGGAGAAAGGGTCCGAGTTCATTCACCACATGCTGAATTGTTACATGGCTTCTCAATGTCCGAAACAATTGTGCTTCAAAACAAAGTTTTTAGAATAAGTTTTCTATTGTGTAGTTTGTACAGAACTGTTTGTTTCCTTGTGGAAAAATATCTGCCATTTTGCACTGTCTCAAAATATACAATACTGGACTTGCTGTGTATGGAGAAAGGGTCCGAGTTCATTCACCACATGCTGAATTGTTACATGGCTTCTCAATGTCCGAAACAATTGTGCTTCAAAACAAAGTTTTTAGATTCAGGATATTTTGAATCTTGGAGGCTTCCAAAGGTAAATTAATCTTCTGCATTGAATTTCATAGATTACTAATTGAAACCTCATGCACGCGCACACAGAGTTTTGTTGGTTTAAATATAATCTGTTTTGGAATTAATTTAGTGAAACTCATTCAGATCCCTTTGTGTGGACATAACAATTTTACATTTAATCCAGCCTAAATCAGTAACTGAATTAAAATGTTGGACCAGCCCTTAAAGATTCCACTTTAGAACAGTGATACTTAATAGATAGTCTGTGGGCCAGATCTGATCTGCTAAGGCATCCTATGTGACCTACCAGCTCACCTTAAAAATATGCTTATAATTTAATTCTCAAATGATGTCTGCCTATAATTTTCGTATACATAATTTGTCAGTGCTTAATTTGTAATAAAACAAATACTGGGGCTCAGCCCCAGCAAGTTCTAGCAAAAATTAAGCACTGGCTGGGTGGCCATGCAGCTCTGAAGGAAGTGTCTCTGCCAGCAGCAGTGCAGAAGTAAAAGTATCATGGTATTGCCACTCATTTGTGTGCTGCTGACAGTGGTCCTGGATACTGACTTTCAGCTTTCCCCCGGGGTGCTCCCCCTCTTGGCCCCATACCCACTTTACTCTTTTCTCCTATGCCCCGCCTTTACTCCACCTCTTCCTGTCCCTCCCCAGAGCACATTCTGCCTCTTCCTGACCCAGCTCCTCCCACCAACCAGCTGATCTGCAGCAGACAGGAGATGCTTTGGGGAAGAGAGAGTAACTGATTAGCAGGTGGCTAGTGGGTGCTGAGAGTGTTTCATGGATCTAATTGAGCATGGCTATTAATGACTACTCCAATTATTGAAACATCCCAGAGCCAGACCTCTTTCACTGAGCGACGATTGTCCATTCCTTTTTTGTTACATATTATGAGAGCTTGAATGGTTGGGACAGTTTGATTGTTCTTATTGGGCAAATCTAATATCTTCTGTTTCGTCTAATTGGTCTATAATTGACTGGTAAGGTATTGTCAAAGAATGTAAAAAATGGTCAAATTCAAAAGCAATCATTTTTGTAGAAGAGTAACAAAAAAGAGTAAGACTTTAGGTTTGGCTTTAGATACTTAGGCCTAATTACGAAACCAAGTTACTTAAGAGTTATTTTAACTCAGAAAAAAATGCAAAAACACAGTGAAATGGCATTCTAAAAAATGAAAGAGTGGCATCATGATGCAGTCAGAAAGGTAGGAAGCATAGCAGCTGCATGACCACTTCCCCTTTTTCAGGATGGAATAGGGGTGGCAAGGAACAGAGTGCAGGATCATCTCCTTTTTGGGAGAACATGGAGGAAGAAGAGCAGGGAGAAAGCGTTGCTAGTTTATTTAAGGAGAGGGCAGAGCAGAGAAGCTGGAGCCTTTTTTTGGTAGTGAGGGTGGGATAAAACAAATAGTAGAGTACCCCATATATAGAGAACATGCTGGGAAGAGAGGTCAAGGTCCTCTTGCCTGTTCCAGAGCTCTGCATCCCCAGAGGAACTTTGAAAATAGGTCTTAGAGGGGTAGCCGAGTTAGTCTGTAACTTTAAAAACAACAAATAGTCTGTGGCATCTTGGAGACTAACAAAAATACATTTGAAAATAGGTGTGATGAGTAGGGGAGGGGAGATCTCACAATTCAGTAATTTGGGGTGAGAAAGTTGAGGATTTTCTCATTAGGAAAGCAGTGAGAGCTCAGCACTCATTCATTGGAACATACTCGGCTGATTACATTAGGAAAAGAATACATGTTGGTGAAGGACTGAGGATGAGGCAACATGTATTAAATAGGTGGAGCCTTATGGACATGGCAGTACAGAGATACTTTTCACTTGAATTAATAGGCTTAGTCCTTAGATGAGTAGTCATGGAGAGCTAGTAAAGCCCTAATGACTGAGGATAGCAAACTGTAAATGAAGTTTGAGACACTTGTGCTCATGTTGGGCACCTTGCTGCATTAGGACAGGCAGACTGCCACAATTACAGGAATGTTCTCATTCTTCAGTTGGCTAGGAAAGTGAGCTGTAAACTGGGGGCCTGCATCTAGCAATCCTACGCTTTCATTCTGCATGGGTAGAATGTGACCATCACACAGAGGCTTCATATGACACAGCACACTGTAGAATGCAGCAGAAGCAATATGAGAAACAGTTACTCAGCTGTGGTAACCTGGGGGATGGATTTTAAGCCCTGGATGGAGAGGTGGTTAGAGAGACAGTAGGGGCATGTCAGCCGACGGTCAGGGCATTGAGTCCCTTATGACCGGCTGAAGTTCTTTTAAATTGTGCTTGGTTCTGTTACAGCAACTGAAGGAGTCAGGTTAAAGCTTAAACAGTTACTATTTTATTGTTACAGGGTAAACTTAGTTGTTAAATGCTACTACTGTGTTACAGATAACATAGCCACTACAAAGGACAGGACAGAAATTACACTAATAAGTCACTTACAGGTACCATGCAACCCTTTTGGTTCTCTGAGCTCTTATTAAATGCATGCAAAATAGACACACAGCAGGTATATATTCTCACCCCTGCGTTCCAGACTTGGCGTGGCCAGCGTCTTTCTCTCAATCCCTCGGGAAGAAGTAGGGCGAGGTTGGGCGTCCCACAG